CTCCCTCGGCCTGGCCTCCCCTGCCCCGGTCAGACCCCGTGTCTCACTCCAGCGCGTTCCCGTCTGGCTGTGCTGCCCTCCCAACCCAGCAGAGCTGCCGGACCCTGGACTCGAACCCTCCAGAACCACGTGCCAAAAATAAATGTTCCTGGGGCTGGGAAGGTGGCTCAGGGGTAGAGCGCTTGCCTCGCATGCATGAAGCCCTGGGTTCGATTCCTCGGCACCACATACACAGAAAAAGCCGGAAGTGGCGCTGTGGCTCAAGTGGTAGAGTGCTAGCCTTGAGCAAAATGCAGCCCAGGGACAGCGCCCAGGCCATGAGTTCAAGCCCCAGGACTGACAAAAATAAATTTCTCCCTTCTGTAAGTACCTCTATCAGGCACATTTCCAACTGGTCTGGGCAGAAGGGGACGCAAGCTAACTTTCAAAGAATTTAGCAACTGTTACTAAAGCATAAGCACACATACTTGTTGTACAGTCACTACCTTTATTCAACCAAGTACAGCAAGCCCCACGGGCAAGGCACGTCTGCAGGCCCCAGCCCCTCTGTGTCTCCAGGGGGTCACAGTGGCAGGATCGGGGTGCTGGCAGACACAGATCCAAGGCAAGGGGGTTTCAAAGGCCAGCCGAGCCGGAGCTCCATGCAGGAGGATCTGCGCGCACAGGTTCATGTGAGCTGGACGGTGCTCCTGCCTGGCCCATGACCAGGCCTGGAGGCCTCTGGAGGGGGAGCGGCCTGCAGGACTGGCCCACCCCCACCCCGAGCCTCACCGTGCCGACAGGCACGTCTGGGGGGGGGGTGAACATCTGCGCAGCGGCTGCAGGCCAGCACTCAAAACATCTGCTTAAATCTGCTCAGCTTAATGCTGGCTTTCTGTGGGACGGGAGAGCGAGGGGGGTGACTCGGGACGGGAGGCAGAGGGTGTACAAGGCCACTGGTTACCGTCTCTTAACCATCAGATTCGGTTTGAATTTAATTCCCCATCATTCTGGCAGCATCAATGGCAAGGTGTCCCACGGACAGCAAAGAATCCTCCCCCTTCCCCCCTCCCCCGCAGCAGACTCCGCCGATGTCCAGGAGCTCCCAGAGCTGGTCATGACCAGTGGGGGACTCCCTTCCCCCAGTGCAGCCATGCCTGAACCTGGGAGGACCACGCGTGCCTCTGCTCCCCGGTACGCCCAGCACCTGTCAGTGGCTGGTTACACACAGGGGACAGACAGCTTGCCATGGTGAAGACAGGCCTCCTCATTCCTGGCCTATGAGAGAATCTGGCACAGCCTCATGCCAGGGCAGGGAGTGAAGATGCAATGCCCTGCACCGGGCTCCAGTGCCGAGGCTGAGCTCGGGAGCGCCCGCTGCTGGCTCTACACCCGTCTGTGCCATCCGCCAGGCACACACGCCGGCTGCTCTACCCCATGCGCTCAGGGCAGAGCCGCCGTGGCGGGCCAAGTGAGCCACGGACACAGCGAGGCAGAGGATGTGAACAGAGCGGAGTCTGAGTGTGCAGACACACTTCGGCTGTGTAAGGAAACGGCCGCAGAGCAGCCAGTGGGCAGGACTGGCTGGTCAGAGGACGGGCCGAGTGCCTTTGGGTGTGCCTGCACGCCAGGTACAGTAGTTAAATGTAAAACCACTTTGGGGTTTCTCTTCATCTGGTGGTGAGGGGCTGGAAGCAGGAACTCGTGTTCCAACATCCAGCTGCACCCCAGCCTGTTACTTTGTGCGTCTATGTAGCCCAGGGCAGCCTTAGACTCACTATGTAGTCCAGGATGGTCTTGAACTTGAGTCTCTTGGCTTTATCTCCCAAATGCTGTCTAGAAGCCGCCTCTTTACAAGTTTGTTACTTTTATCAAATAACTAAGCATATGGGCTTTACTACTGGACACGTGCAGTATTTCCAACACCAATGATTCTGGCTTATCAAATAACTAATAATATGGGCTTTACTGCTGGACCTTCTAGTTCATTCCATTGATCTTCGGACCTGTCTCTGGGCCAGCATCAACTGTTTTTTATTATAGCTCTGTAGGACACCTTGAGGCCTAGGATTGTGATACCACCAGCATTTTTTTTGGCCCAGAATTGCTTTGGCTAGTAGAGGTCTTTTGTTGTTACATATGAATTTTTGGATGGTTTCTCTTAGTGAAGAATGTCACTAAGGAATGCATTTAATTTGTAGATCATTTTTGGCAGCATGGCCATTTTTTTTCTTTTTTTTGCCGGTCGTGGGGCCTGAACTCTGGGCCTGGGCGCTGTCCCTCAGCTCTTCAGCTCAAGGCAAGTGCTCTACCACGTTAGCTATAATGCCACTTCCGGTTTTCTGCTGGTTTACTGGAGATAAGAGCGTGTCTCACTGACTTTCCTGCTCGGGCTGGCTTTGAACTGCGATCCTCAGGTCTCAGCCTCCTGAGTAGCTAGGATGACAGGCGTGAGCCAGCGCCCGGCTCCCATGGGCATTTTCACAATATTCACTCTGCATAGCTGTGAACACGGGAGGTCTCTGTTTCCTGATGCTGTCATCTACTTCTGAAAGCCAACTCTGTACAGACATCATGAGGCTCAGTGGCAGAGCAGAGGCCCCATGGTCTCGAGGCCGGCTCCTGCAGCGCCGCCCGCGCCATGCGCAGGGCTATGGACGGTGGTGGGGGCCGGCCCTCCTACTCCAGGAGCCCCGCACTCACCTGTTGGTTTCCACTGCCGTCCTCTGACCTTACATGCTTGCGGACGTTCCGGACATGGCACCACAGGGGAGTGACAGAACCTTCAAGTCCCTTGTCCCCCGCCGTGAGACAGGCAGCCTGTTCTGCCACGGGCTTCTGCCTTGGCGAGCTAGTTGCTAAGACCGTGTCTCAAAATACTAAAGACGGGGGACCAAAAAGGGGAAAGCAAAGAAGGGGTGACATTATCCACGAAGCTCTGTACTAACATTTAAAAAAAGGGGGGACTGACTGGTCACTGAATTAAAATCTCTAAAGTTGTGAGCAAAAGAAACCTCCTCCTTCGGTAAATCTATTTATTTTTTGGGAAATTGATTTACTCAAGTACTTGTCAATTATAATAATCTCCTCATCAATCCATTATCTGGCGAAATCCAGGGAGACCACACACACCAGATGTGCTCCTCAGTGACTCGGAGACACCAACCCCAAGGTGGGGTCACTTCCTTTTTATTTATTTTGGTCGGTCGAGGGGCCTGAACTCTGGGCCTGGGCGCTGACCCTCAGCCCTTCAGCTCAAGGCCAGCGCTCTACCACTGGAACCATAGTGCCACTTCCAGTTTTCTGGCGGTTTAGTGGAGATAAGATTTTCACAAATGTTGCTGTGGCTCAAGTGGTAGAGTGCTCGCTTTGAGCTGAAGAGCTGAGGGTCAGCGCCCAGCCCAGAGTTCAAGCCCCATGACCACCACCAAAACAACAACAAAAAAAACCCTCGACACTCCCTTTGGGGCTGGGAAGGTGGCTCAGTGGTAGAGCGCTTGCCTTGCATGCCTGAGGCCCTGGGTTCCATTCCTCAGTACCACATAAACAGAAAAAAGAAAAGCCAGAAGTGGCGCTGTGGCTCAAGTGGTAGAGCACTAGCCTTGAGCT